TGTCCAAGACACAAACCTTTGTTATCATTCCTTCTTTTCTATTCATAGCTAGCCTTTTGATGAAATCCTTTCTTCTATTCTTTTAGTATAGTTTTAATATAATATATATCATAAAATAATAAATCCAGCCTTCTGAAACATGGAGTCAGATCCTCATCTCTTCCCTCATCCTCAGATCCCTGTGAATACCGTCACACAAACCATTCTGGAATTCTGTGAAACAAATTGCATCAGACTCCCACAATATGTGTGAGCAAAGAGTACTTCACTCCAGAATTAATTCCTGGCTTCTTGAAAACACAAGAAATACAAAGATGGTTGTGATTACTTACCCCTTCTAGAGATTTGAGCAGGTTTTGTCTTTCTTTTAGCTTTTGGATACTGATGACAATTTTGTGTCTTGCGCCTTTGGTAACGTTCTGCAAAACCAGGATAAAATTTGATGTTAACACTTCCACAGGGCAGCTGGCCCAACCCAAACCCTTCCTCTCCCAAACAGAAAGGGCTGCTAGAAATTAATTACATTTTTGAGTGCAGGGATTTGTGGGGGACATAGAAAACCACCCAGAGACTTGCTGAGGATGGAGACTTCCAGCTGGTCTGTCCCTCCCTGGTGCACCTCACACATGGAGAGCAATGGTGCTCCCATTCCTCTTTACCCCAAGGATAATGCAGAGGTGAACCTGAAAGCAGTGGAGGTTGGAACCAGATAATTTTTAAGGCCACTTCCAACCCCAACCAGCAATATTCTATGATTCTATGACATTTTCAAAGGCAGTCAGCCATCAGAGCTCCACTGCCTTTAAGGGAGTTGCACCACAGGTTGCACCCCTGAAACTCCTGAATTTAATCCCAGCTGGGAAAAAAACCCCAAGCACAGCTCCCAGTGATGGGACTTCCATGCTGGGATTCCAGCAAGAACACAGGAACAAGGATTTTTTTGGGCACAATGCGAGATTTTTTCACTCCCCAAGACCCAATTCCCCTTTTTCTTCCAACCACAGGAAGTCACACGAAGGGGCTTTGGAAGCTGTCACCCCCCAGGTGAGGTGGGACATACTTGTGCCTCGAGCTGGCACTCGGTGAGGGCCATCATCTCCTCGTAGGTCATCTGGGAGAAGAGGGCGGCGTACTTGTGCAGCCTGAGGCTCTTCAGCCAGGCTGGGACATCTGCAGCACAAGGGAACAACAGGAGAGCTCCAGTGAGTTCATGGAACGGCACAACCACGAGCAACAGCACCAGCACCAACATGAGGGGCATCCCAAGGGACACCTCACTGAGCCTCGTGGATCTTTGGGAGGACACAGGGCTGTGGGTGTGGATGGGACAAGGAACCAGCCCCTGGATGGGGACAGAGAGTTGTGGATATGGATGGGACAAGGAACCAGCCCCTGGATGGGGACACAGCGATGTGGATGTGGATGGGACAAGGAACCAGCCTCTGGATGGGGACAGAGGGATGTGGATATGGATGGGACAAGGAACCAGCCCCTGGATGGGGACAGAGGGATGTGGATGGGACAAGGAACCAGCCTCTGGAGGAGGACACAGGGCTGTGGGTGTGAATGGGACAAGGAACCAGCCTCTGGATGGGGACAGAGGGATGTGGATGGGACAAGGAACCAGCCTCTGGAGGAGGACACAGTGATGTGGATGTGGATGGGCCCCTGGATGGGGACAGAGGGATGTGGATGTGGAAGGGAGGAGGAATCAGACCCTGGAGGAGGACACAGGGCTGTGGATGTGGATGGGACAAGGAACCAGCCTCTGGATGAGGACACAGGGCTGTGGATGTGGATAGGACAAGGAACCAGCCTCTGGATGAGGACACAGGGCTGTGGATGTGGATGGGACAAGGAACCAGCACATGGATGGGGACACAGGGATGTGGATATGGATGGGACAAGGAACCAGACTCTGGATGAGGACACAGGGCTGTGGATGTGGATGGGACAAGGAACCAGACTCTGGATGAGGACACAGGGATGTGGATGTGGATGGGACAAAGAACCAGACTCTGGATGAGGACACAGCGATGTGGATGTGGATGGGACAAGGAACCAGCACATGGATGGGGACACAGCGATGTGGATGTGGATGGGACAAGGAACCAGCCCCTGGATGGGGACAGAGGGATGTGGATATGGATGGGTGGAGGAACCAGCCTCTGGATGAGGAAAGGAACAACAACAACCCAACATCCTCAGAAGTTGTGTTTCTGTGGGAAAGCCACTGGGAATCAGCCCATGGGGAACAGCACATCAAGCTCCTCACTGCTGTTCTCCCAGGAACATGGGAAGTGCTGCAGCTCATGCAGTGGTTGAGCTCAGGACAAGCAAAGGGCTGTTTGTGGATGGCAGACACTGATTTATGGCCTGAGGGGTGGTGGCATGTGCTGAAAATGGAACTGCCTGCTTAAACAGAGCTAGAGAGCTGGGTTTGGGATGGAAAAATGATGTGCCATCAAAGATGGCCCCATACCCTGCTTCGAAGGGTGACCTGGGATCTGAAATGCACCAACTGAAATGACTCTTCTTTCCCAGCTGTTTCCTGCAGTGTAGCATCTCTATGCCCAGCTGGAGAGGTACCCAAAATTACATTTATCCTCCCGACTTCCATATGGTTTCACAGTGAGGAACCTGGGAGGGGAATCCTTCCTCTGTGACATTCAAAACCCCATGGATTCCATGATGAGGTGCCCTCCATGGAGCAGGCAATGTGACAACAAGCAGCTGTGCAGGGTTTGCAGGTTTGGGGGTCTGTGGTGACACCCCACAAGGGAGGGGGGGCCTGCAGGTGTCTGTGCTGCAGCACAGCACTGGGCCTGTGATGAGGTTTTTAGTTTGAAATGCTTTGTCAAATAAAGACCTGCTTTATTCAGCACCCATAACCCCCACAGGAGCTCTGCCACAGCCCTCCCGGCTGATGTGCTCTGCTCCCAGCAATGCCTTGTCCACAGTCCTTGTCCCCTTCCCTACCAGTGAGACACTGGGCAGCTCATTCCCACTGCTGGGACATCCACCTCATGGTGTGGGTGCAGGAAGTCCCACAGTGTTGAGCCCCACCTGCAAGTCAAGGATTGTCCATGACCTCCTCCTGAAGCAAGGTGGTCTCATCACTGGAAGGGACAGGGCAGGAGGGACCTGGTTTGGTTCCCAAGGCAATCCATACATCTGCCAGAAGTCTCCTGCTGCCCAGGCTGATCCCAAACCCGCCCTGCATCCAAGCAAAGAGGATGCAAACAATCCCAGATGCTGCATCCCACTCACACTCCCCAATCCCAGACACACACAAAGATTCACGTGTCAGTGAAATTGCTCAAGTGCTGCACAGGAGATCAACCCCACACCAAACATGGGGTAAGACAATGACTGAGCACAGAAGGGCTGAAATTCAGAGTTTTTCAAAAGTTCTGACATGCAACAGTCCCAAAGTCTGCTACCAGCACCCTCTTAAGCTGATTTCTGTTTGAAATAAATGAAAACCTCTCAGCAAAAAGCCCCATTTCCAGTACAGGCTCAAATTTCATCATCATTTCAACACAAAACCACACCATTCTAGTGACAGCACATTAAAAGTCTCCCTGATCCCACATCCCCATGGGACACCTGCATTTGGCACACATCCATGCCAAAGGCAAAACCCACAGGGATGCTTCCAGAACAGATTGAACCTCACACAGACATTGAACCCTGCAGGAAACCCTTCTCCAGCCTTTGCAGAAGCAGCTCCTCATCAGCCTGACTGGATCATGCCTCAATTTTGGGGACAGTGATGTCCCAGAGCTCCCCTGGCAGCAGAGATGTGATCCAGGAGCAGGCTGGGCAGAAGGAGCCATCTCAGGACACACAGAGTGTGTTGTGTGTGATGGAGCTTTCCCCATTCCCACAGGGAAGAGGCAACCAGGAGGTGCAAGGACTTCCAAGGTGATTTCCTGGTCCCTGGAAAGTCAATTTTCCCAGTGCTCTCCACGGATGGGTGAACCACCTGCCTGCAGAGCTACTCTTTAATCAGCAATTACCAGCAGCTAATTGCAAAGTCATGGCACGGCTGTCAGGAAATTTAGAAGGAAAACAACTCACTCTGCAATATTTGCACACAGGACACCTTGGATATACTCCCAGCAGAAACTCCTGGCTCTACCCACACCTGCCTCCTGGTGCTCCCCAAGCTGTGCCCAGGAATCACAGAATCCTGGCATGGTTTGGGTTGGAAGGGCCCTCAAAGATTATTTAATTCCAACTCCTGTCCATGGGCAGGGACATGGCAAGGGACAGACAGACAGACAGACTGGGATCCATGGAGAACCAAGTGTCCATATCTTCCCCTGGAGAAACCAAGAGCTAGGATAAAGCCAAAGGGCATTTTCCCTTCAGCATGAAGATAGATGGAAAAAAAAGAAATGGGAGCATAAAGATAGACAGAAAGGAAAGAAATTGTTGACAGTGGGGGAGATAAACTGGGGATCTGTCATGGGTTCCTCACATTCCAGAGGGTCTGGATCCTCCTGGATATCCTGGATGGATAAAGAAGGAAGCAGCTGAGCAGGAGCAGGGGGACACCCAGCCAGCAGAGCCTGCAGGCACTCAGGGAGACGTGGCTGCAGTTCAGGACTTGGCAGCAGGAGCAGCCAGCCTGGATGGAGAAGGAGGCAGCCCCATAAAAATGCAGCAAACTGTGTGTTTGTTTCTGCAGGAACCAGAAACGGCACGATCGGAGTGCACAGAACGGGCAGTCCTCTCTTCTCTCCTTTTTTTAATTTTTTTTTTCAGGAAAGCTGTGGGGATACAATGGGTCATATGCAGCTCACAGAGCTTTGTTATTTGAGGACGATGAGCTACACAGCCACAGGAATGCTGTCTGGAGGCAAACAAGGCTCTGCTCTGCTTCCAAGTCCGGTTTTGGGCAGCACACCTTCAATAAAACGAGGACTTTTTGGAAAAAATCCTGGCGGGGAGAAGCAGGAACAACCCCAAGTTCAGAAAACATCATCTGGGAAGGCTGTGGAATGGTTCAGCCTGAAGAAAACCCAGCTGAGGGGGGAGGACAGGGCAGGCAGAGACACCAGAGGTTGTGAACATCTGTTCTGCACGTCCCTGGACAGGGGGACAGAAGCCATTTGGCTGAGTCAGCAGTGGGGGAATCACGTTTGGGAGTCTGGAAAGGGACAGCCCAAGGAAGGGTGGACATAGCCCAGCTGCACCCAGCAGCAAGGCATGTGTTAATATGTGGGGTTATTTAATTGATCATCATCAATCATAGCCTCTGGGTTCTGTGGATTTGGCCACACAGGTTGATTGCACAGCACTGGGAAGTTTCTCTCCAAGCACATCTCAGAGCTGCAGCTGTGGATCACAGGGAGCCAAGCTCTCCACGACCTCCTCCCCAGCTCCTTCTGCAGAAACCTGGAGCAATGTGGTGTTAAACAGCCCTCCCCAGCTCCCAAAAAGTTCTCCCTGGCCAGACAGCCTGCAGGACCTGACCTGCCTCTGTTACATTGCCTAGAACCATGAGGGGTTTTTCATGCATTTATTTCATGCACATCAAAGCCATCCAGAGCCAAGCCAAATGCAGTCCCACATCACACAGATTTATCCACATCTCAATTTGTCTGTAATTAAACTGAAATCAGACCTTGTGACTGTTAAAAAACACAATTATTTCCCTATTCTGATACACCACTGGTTTGCACACAATCGAGCTGCTTTGCATTAATACAAACTGGAGTTGTTTAAATCAGTCTGAGAGCTGCAGGGTCATTCTCAGTCTGTTCCCAGGAACACACAGTTTGTGTGTTTGCCCAGTTTTTAGCTGTTTATTCCTCCTCAGCCTGAAGTTTCCTCTGCCTCTTCGACTGCAGCAAGTGGGGTTCATTTCTGCCTTGTTTACCACCACAACCACATGTATTTATTGCCAAAATCTCTGTGAAATGTAGGTATAATGGGAAAACCAACTGAAACACACAGGTTAAATTCACTGCAAACAAGTACCCCAAGCCAAAACCTCCCCAGATACTTGGTAGGTATCAAACACTGCAATGGCAAATCACACGTGGCTGGCTAAGCTTGCTCTAAGCTATTTTTCACTGTCATAAAAAAATAAAAAAAAAAAAAATGAAAGAGAAAAAAGAGCACCACTCGCAGCCAAAAGCCACAGGCAATGGAAAAAATCCAGCTTTTTGCAAAGCTGGCAGCTCACAGAGCTTTGGGGCAAAACCAGCCCACTGGCACCCAAGTGCAAGATGTCAGATCAGGACCAGCTGCTACTTAAAAGAAAACCCAAGGCATTCCCCTAACACTAAAGCCCTAAGGTGGGGAGAAAAGGCTGGGAGGCCCCGTTTGGCCACGAGGATGCTCTCCCCAAAGCGAGCAGGGAGCAGGGACAGCTCTTCCCCTCCTGCCTCTGGGTGCTGGGGATGGGGGGTCTGGTTTGTCACTCACCTTTCATCCCACTCCCTTCCTCCTGGAATGTGTTACGAGCAGAAGGCTGATCTTCTAAATGTTCACTCCCACCACTTCCCGAAGAGGCTACACTGCTTTGTGGAGACAGGGGGGCATGATCAGAAGGGATGCACTGGGGTCCTCTAGCTCGTAAGTCCTCATGAGACATCCATCCATGTCCTAGAGGTTGGTTTGGCACATTCATGGGTGGGGTAAGGGACACAGAGCGTTTCAAAGGGCTGTGGTGTGTCTGGCCTGAGAGAACTGAAAAAAAAAAAAAAAATAAAATCAAAGAGGTTATTCCCCCCTCGCGGCCCGGGATGCAGCAGAGTCCCCCGAGAAAAAAAAAATAAAAGAAAAAAAAAATCAAATGAAATTATAAAATGTGTGGTGGTGGCTGGCCATGGTGCCTGGCTGATGGCTTTGCAGCACCCCTGAGCCCTACCCTGAGCTCTCTGCTTTGTCTCCTGGGAACAAAAAGGGTGGGAGTACCTGCAAGGAGATGGGGTCACACTATGAGCTATGCTGGGCTGCTCAAGGGAAGGTGGATTCCAGCTCTAGGGAAAAAACATCAATTGAGCAGTTCTGCAGTGTAAAATCCCCAGGATGGGGATGTCCCACAGAGATCCAAGGGCAGCATCTCTGTCTCTCCCTTGGGTTAGGACCTGGCTTGTGCCCTGAAGCAGGAGCACTTCTCCCAAAATCACTGCAAGGGCACTTCTCATCCATAGGAATGGCTCAGCCTTGTTGAGCCCTACTAAAATGACAGGATCATGGCATGGTTTGCATTGGAAGGGACCTTACAGACCTCATTCTAACCCCCTGCCATGAGCAGGGACACATTCCACCAGACCAGGTTGCTCCAAGCCCTGTCCAACTTGCCCTTAAACACTTCCAAGGACTATCTCTGTCTCAAGTACTGAAAAAAGTATTAAAAGACTGTTCTGTTTGCTTAACAAAATTCAAATTCCATCACTCAGAGTCACTAACCTACTGGTCTAACCATAAACACAGTGTATATAATTTAATGTACAGATTTAGGATGCAAACCAGGGAAAATTTCCCTGCTCCAGGAAAACCTGAGGGCAGAGGGATTAGCATGACCTTTCAGCCTACAAGAAACAGAAGCAAAAACTTTTCAATTTTTCTTTCCAAACCAAATTTTTAAACTGTACAAAACCTGGGGGAAATTTATTGTTCTCATGGCTTTTCCATCTAAAGCACCAAAGCCCTAAAGCTCCTTAATCCCCTTTTTGCATTTACAGCAGCTCACCAAAACCACTCAGACTCCTCTCCATGTTATTATTTAATAGGAATGAGTCTTGGTGGAAAACCCCCAGCCAGGTGCTTCGTGCTGCAAAGGTTAAGCCAGACTTAATTCCCAGCTCAGGCCTGGGGGTAAACACCATCAAAGGCATTTTGCTGACCAGGAGAGGCACGAAAATGAGGAACTGGTGGGGTTACAAAAGGGAGGGGAGAGAGAAACACCAGAGCACATTTGCATTTATGAACCACCTGCAATAAGCAGCTGGTGCCACAGGCAGCTGCTGCATGAGGCCAAAAAACCTGTGGATTTCTGTAATGTTTAAATAATTCCTACTCCTGAAAGGGTTTTCTTGTGCCAGCACACAACACTGACACCACGCTCTGCTGGGAAGCACTGGGGTGGCTTGTGGGGAAGAATTTGTTCCCTTCCCTTTAAAAACTATACAAACATCTTCCAGAAGTCTCTTTTTTGGCAAAAAAAAAGATGTCAATGAGATCCTGAGATTGCTTCCAGAGCAGTGTTATGCTTCCTAAAGCTCTGATGTGATGCATCCCCATAGTGAAATAGATGGATTTCAGAAGGTCTTGGGCAAGCCTTTTCAGCTCTTGGCTTTGCAATTGTGCCCCCAAACCAGCATCTGTAGATGCCACATCACCCTCTCAGGAGAAAAATATATTTAGGATTTAAAACCCCCCAAAATATAGGGGGAAAAATGGATAAATTGGTTAAAATGCATCATCAGGGCTGAGCATTGGCTCTGCACCACCCAGAGCCCTTGTGTGCCTGCTGCCCCCAGCCATGGTCACTCTGCCTTGGGGAGAGAATTCACCCTCAATTTGCTGTAGGAAAACCACTGATTCAGGAAATATTTGTGCTCCTCAGATGAAGGAGAGATGCAAAGAAGGGGCCAGGAGGACTGAGGTGAATTGTGCCCTTTCAGGAGGCTGCTCTGCTAACCCAGCTCCTGCAGGGTGTGTGCAGACACTGGGACCCAGCAGTGCTCACACCTTGCACACAGGAGGGAATTTTTGGCATAAATCCAGCCCAGATTCCTTCACGAGCAGCAATACCCCTGCAAACTGCTGCTCCTCCATCTTAATTTCATGTCCCCTAATTAGAAGCTGGTGTTGGCTGAAGGAGAAATAATGAACTCCAAAGGATGGCCAGGGACAATTAGAAACCATCCAGTGAATCAGAGAAAAATCAGTTCCACTTCTTTCCCTGAGATAATGCAACTCTGGATCCAATAAAACACCTTTTACTAAGCCAAAATTTTACTGAGGTGTGAGTTGTTCCCACAACACCTGGGATGCAGCAGGGAAAATCCCTCTGCAAAGGATGCTGCAAGCCCCCAGCTCTCTGAAACCACCTGGGGACCAAACTGAGGTGATTTAAGGGCTCTTAGCCCTGGCCTAACTTTAGGGTCTGCTTTTTATTGGTGATAATGTGGTTTCTTGCAATCCCTCTTACCCATTTCCATCAGCCCTAAGAATCCTGGAATGGCATCCCCTCTATTACTCTGTAATCCCCAGGGGATCAATAAATATCCATATTTATTATATCTATTAATAATATCTATTAATATTAATAATATATATTAACAATTTATGAATAATATTTAGTAGTAATTTTATTAATAATTTTATTAATAAGAGTTATTGATAATAGTTATTAATGTTGATACTTGTGGTAATGCCCTCAATTTCTTGAAATAAGAGGATGTAGCTAATTATTTCCAAAGCATCATTTTTTTGTAGGTCCTGACCTGAATTTGACCATTCTGTGTGCTTTTTGGAAGGTCCAAGGTGAATCCAGGGCTGCTCCTGGCTAAAATAAATGGTCCACGTGGGCTTTAACTTCAGCAGAAAAAAACCAAGTGTGAGTTTATCACCTCACACTCATGTCTCCTCTTCTTTTACTACAAAAATATTAAGCTTAAATTTAAAAAGGAAATCTAAAGTGTTATTCTGGGCCAAGATAAGCTCCCAGGAGGTGGGTGGGCACGGCTGCCTCTCTGAGCGCTGTGAGCTGGGCAAACAAAGAGGGGAAATCACCACTCCAAAGGGCATCCCACACTGGCACAAGGATCCCCTACAGCCTGTAAGCATGCCCCACTTCTGGTTTAGGGGTGTTTTCCTGCCCTTTAGGTGCTGCAAGACTCCACACAGGCACTGCCTGGCCCAGCTCCTTCCAAGCGGGACAGGGGCTGGAGCAGATCATGGTTTTCCCTGGAATCAGTGGGCTGGTGCTGCCTCTTTGCTCAGCCCACACCAGACCAGGTTCCCTGCAAGGAACCTCTCCATGATTTCCAGACTGGGATCAAGCTCAGGGTAACATTCCCAGGTAAAAAAAAAACCCAAAAAAGCAGAGGATGTTGAAGGAGTGATGGCAACAAAGCTCCCCATGACAGCAGGCAGCTGCTGACCACGCTGGGAGCATCCCTGTGGCACCACCCCCTCCCCAGGCAAATCTGGATTTATCTCAGAGCAAACCCTGCCTGGGCTGGCAGGCACCACAGCACACTCATAGAAACTGAGGCTGCAAGTGCTCTCACCCCATGAAGCCTTGGCTTTGGGATTTTTCCCTCCCCCCTCTCTTTTCCCTTTTGAAGTGGCGCTGCCTATTTTGGGAGGCAAGGGCTGATTTCAAGAGGGTTTTTGTTCACTGAGGACCATGTGGAACAGCGTCAGACATTTGTGTTGTGGTTTCTCAGGGTTTTGGGCCAATTTTTTTTTCAGCCTGAGAAGGGAAAAGCCACCCATTCCTGTAATTAGAGCTGAGAAATTGGGCTCTGCAGGCAGACCTTCCTCCACACAGCGACAAGGTGCTCACTCTCCCTCTCTCTTCATGAAATCTGGCTTAGAGTGCTGCAAAGTCCTTGATGAACACACATGTGAGAGCTTCCAGTGAGAACCAAACCCACCACTGGGAGGATTCAGAATGTCCCCAGTCCCACCATGCCCCTGATACCCAAAGGACCAGCACAGGATCCATACATCAGGTTACAATTCCAAATAACATCCTCCTTGAGCTTGCAGAAAGGAAAAAGCACGGCAAGGTGCATACTGAACTCCCTGGGACCTTCTTTTGTTTTTTTAGTTTAAAAACGGCCCTTCTTGGCTGCAAAGCTGTTTATGGTGAGTCCCCAGGCAGCATCTGATCACACCCAGCTGCTTTCCTGGTCTGCTGGTACCTGGAGCAGCAGCCTGACCCCAAAAAGTGGGGATGCTTTTAATCCACACGAGGTTTTGTGCAGCCTGGAAGCTCCCCCATGGAGAGGGAACACTGAGCACCCCCCTCACAAAGCAAACCCCAAGTTCAACTCAGTCTCCCTCCTCCTTGCCACCCCAGTCACATCCTCTCCTCCAGGAAGGCTTCCCCGTGCTGGCAGAGCAATGCCCAGGGCTCTTCCAGCTTTTCCTTGCCCAGAGCCCTTGGAAAGAGCTGCCAGTGGGTCACACTGCCCAGCTGGCACCCAGCCTCCTTCCTGGGCACCTCATTCACCCTCTCCCCAGGCTGCCCCAGGCAGCCCCAGCACAGCCAGAGCAGAACCTCATGGAACATTTTTCAGCTCAACATCCCCTAACCCTTGGAGCCTCTTTTTGTGCCTTTTTTTCCTTTAATCTCCCTGTGTTCTGTGGCTGTGACTTCTACACAAAATGTGTTTGTAGGAGCTGGATAATCCATGTGCTGGCCTCTGAACCATGAGCTATGAGCTGATCTAACTCATGAAGGGGTGAAATTCAGGGTTCCAAATGCAAGAAGCCACTGGGGAAAAGGGAAATTGTGGAATTAGGAAATAAGTGGTGTTAACCCCTGCACCAGGAAAAAACCCAATAGAAGCAGAATACTGCCTTGAGCAGGGAAGGAGCACAGACTGCAGAAAAGGCTGTCAAGCAAACCTTTTTAAAGAAATGGTGTTTTTAAACACAGTTTCCTGTTGAAGAAACTGGACAGAGAAACAATAACCCGTTTGTTGCTGCTCCCTGCGAGCAGC